TCTCTTCTTCACCCCTCTCGGCGCGCCCATTCGCGGTTTTAGCACCCTCCTCCGCGAAAGCTCCTGGAAACTCTGTCAGTAACGTTAGGTCAGGTTATACCGAGCCCGCCGGTGAGAAGGAGAACTCGGCTTGAACTCCGACGGAACTCTGGACGGAAACTCGGCGTGAACACTCGGCGTGTCGTCGCCAACTAAGTTGGGGAGCGCCACCCACTAACCTCCGTAAGGATTCCTTGCTCGTCTAGGAGGCACCGGTGGCAGAAAGTCTCGACCACCTTACACGCCTCCGGTACCTTTGGCCCCTCCGCCTACCGCTATGACCGCTATGAACTAGGCATTCAGCCACCGGCCGCAACCATAAGTTACTACTAATGTTGTTCTCGTGTTCCCTGGCCGAATTCATCGGAAGGAACGGCTGCCTAATCTTGTAAAAGATCCCGCTCAATTTCTTTCATTAAATCCTTTCATTATCAAGTATAAATCATAATTTTTATGTAAAGTCTACTATTTTATATTCGCTACTTTTTTTTAGATAGATTTTAAATTATGAAATTCTAATGTCATTTGACGTATAAGCGATAGATAAAAAAAATGTCAAAAATATCTTAAGCTTCGCATAAATTTCAATATAACGATGCTGGAATATCGCGTGCAAACATATCTTCTTGCGAGATACTTCTTTCTTGAGCTTTTACTTATTTTCTTCTCCTACTTCGAAGGAAGTAGCGTCTCGCAACCAAACTTCGACGTTCCACCACCTCGAATGAGTCTGTCGCGAAAGTTTAATTAGATCCACCTTGAGGCAATTCCAAGCCCTTCTGCCATCGGTCGCCGCAGTAGCAAGTTAATGAGTCGGTAGCAAATTTCATTCAGTTACGAAGATAGTGCTTTTAATGAGTCTGAGGAAAAGCTCAAACTATCATTTCGTTCGGTTATTACAAAATTCGATCAATTTTATTACGTAGATAATTAAAACAATAAAATATTCCGTATAAATCCTCTCTGGAAACATATTTCCTTCGGTACATATTCTATGTAATTTCAACTGTAATTACGTATACGGCTATAAAATTTGCGCCAACAAAATGAAACATACTCAAACGCATTTCATTTTATATTCAACCGTTACTGGAGCGACAAAGATTCTAAAAAAGCTATTTTCACCATGAACGGAATATCTTCTTTTTTCAAGACTTAACCGGATGACGATTAACGGTCTCATTTTCCACCATATCCCGCGGCGAATTCGCTTAAGTAAATTACCAGTGTCATAGGGTAGATACTGCCGGCTTTCTAGCTATCCCGCATGACGACAAGCGGGGACGGATGGCAGGGGGGGATGGGTAGCTTTGTGGATTTACACGATACAAGCGAAATACAAGCGGCGAACCGACCTCGACCGGGGAACTTTATTGCATTACGCCATGCGGCGTTTTTCCTGTCGTCGTGCGGTCTCGTTGCACCATGGGCTCTAACCTCATCGAATTGACCCTCTACTTTGGCTTAGTCCGGGGACAGAAATAACGTACTTCGTCCTGCGGCATCCGGCCCGCGTCGGAGAATCAACGAATTCCCCGGATGGCTCTTGAAGAGCGGCGCGAGGATTCCCGACGCCGTAAGAACGGCCATTAAGGCGGTGATAATAGCCGGCGATAATTCGCCTTTGTTAATTAAAGCGTAACGAGGCGATAGCTCAAAGGTTTCATATAGTGGATCTGGCTACGCGATCTTCATCTTTGATCCTCTGCAATGCGACTCATGATTTATTCACAGGAAATTCCCGGGACGCTTTTATAGATCCCGATATTATCTCGGGGCAAACTCGACGGGGATTTCTTCTATTACTGTACGAGATCAATCAGTTAATCGCGGAACCATTCTCCTTCTTTTCCTTTTTTTCTCCGTTTTATTTTTTTAACATTTAAATATCGCACGTTCAAATTCCGCAAAACTTTTATTTATATCGTAAAAGTATTTAAAATTTCATATAAAATTAGACTCGCGTATCTAACTCGATTTTTCGATATAATTCGATAGAATTCAATTACGTAATAATATTAATGGTCGTTGTGTAACTCATATTGCCAGACGAAACAGCCTTTTATCGCATACAAATAATTAACCCGATCTAATCGAACTCAGTCGCATTCTATTTGAAAAGACTTCGCAATTTGCCGGCGAATAGAAAGCGACTTCGCGAGAAGGATCCTCGCAGATAATAGCGATTACCTTCCCTCCCCCTTGGCCGCTACCCGATCAAGTCTCTCGCTTCTCCGGTCGACGTTGCAGCGTTGCAAAGAGAAGAGCGATTCCTTAATTTCCCATATTGTGGCTCGTCCCGGCTATCCCAGGGCGCCCCGCTGCGTTATAGCGCGGTTTAATCACCCTACAAGCGCGCATCCCTCGTTAGCGGGATATCGTACCCGCGGTGGCTATAATATGAGGCTACATTCCAGCGAAAGATACAGCATGCCAGTGCAAGACATTTCCACCGTTCGCGAGCAACGTCTGGGGCCTGCCATTGCGGAATCGGCAATAACCTTTTGACTTCTCTTTGCTGAGAAACGGGGAACGAATCGGCGCCGTCGCGCTTTACGCGGATTACATATCGGATAGCTGATATTTCTCAGCGAGATATTACGCAACAACGTCTGCTTCGAGTAAGCCATTTTATTCCGAGGCGATTTTCTAAGATTTTCGAGAATGATTATTCGAGCCTTTCATTAAAAATTGAAGTATTATTGTCTCATTTTTTCCATTAAAATTGTTTTATCCTTTGTTTCGTATCTGTTATTTATTTATTTTTAAACGGAAAAGGAAATCGCTTTAGTATAAATTCCTTACACTAATAAAGAATCAAAGAAAACTAACGGAAACAATGAGATAATAAATTAAGAGACATATGAAATAAGCAAATTTTAACAAATATCCGATTTAGAGGGTTCGAAGAATAATTTTTATTAAAAAAACGTAAGGAATTTGACATGATAAAATATAGATATTTTCGATATGCGCGCGAATAAAGAGAATAGAATCATACATTTAATGCAAAGAGAGTTTGACTTTTTTAAAAATAAAGGATTATATATTTTGAAAAAGTAGGAGTAGCATTCTTTGTATCCAAACCTATTATCTTCACGTTTTCCGAAGGATAGCGATTTGGGAGACACCGTTGAAAATATTCATGGATGTCTCGCGATGTCGCTGGATCTATAATGATCCTTCATGCTTGCCGAGTAGAAAGGAGGAATGGAGAAAGAACAGCTACATCGAAAAGCATCGCGGTTGAAAAACACTTCCAAGGAAACCGAAGAAAGAGACAGAGAGCTCGAGGGAAGGGGAACGCTCGCAATAATTGTGATTTACGATTCGGTCGTTGGCAAAGTAAAGCGCGGCGAGTTCGTTTGAAACGGTAGCGACGCATTTCGCGAGGCAGAAGAACTCGTCGGCAGGATCGGGATGGAGAAAAAGGTGACGGGGTACGGCGAGGGTGAGAAGGGGAGAGAGGAAGCGAGATCCGCGGGCTTCCTGCTTTTTGACAAATCGCTGATGGAAAATCCAGCGAACCGTGGGAAACCGCGATATACGATGCCGCCAACACGTCGGCTAGCCCCGCGAATCTGTGAGAATAGTCCCAACAGTAGCGAGTCTTAATTGGCACTCTTTACCGCCCGGAACCGACGACTTAATTAGCAAAGCTTGTAATTCCGCTGTGCGCAAGAATACAAAGAGACTGGCTGTTTATTAATGTTAAATATACTCACGATATGTTACGCTGACCGATATAATGGTCATACCTGAAATTCGCTAAATTTAGAAACGAATTGTTACGTAATCTTTCGTTTTTTTTCTATCTACAGAAATATTCCCGGCGGTTTGTAATGTCATTTAAGGATTACGCGCATTTGATTACGTGAAGTTTGATAAATTTTTAGACTAAAAGTGTACGCAATATCGAGGGACGCAGGTTGAATTTTAGCATAAGAAAGGCTTAGCGAAATATCTCACAATGGGCACCATTGAGCCCTCACGCATTGGATCTCGCCAACACTCGTTTATCCGTCTCGTTCTCTCCATCTTTATCTCACTCGCGTGTATTGGCGTAGAGGGTAGGACGCAATCAGTGCCCTTGATTTATCGTAGCAATATACATTAAGATACCGACATTAAAACTAGGGGAGTCTCCCGTGGATTCCGGGGCTCCATTACCTCTTAGAATAGAGAGAGGCGAGCTGTCGTCACGTTGCATCGAAATGCTTGGGCGAGAGATTGAATTCTCAGCTGCGCTTGATCCGTTCGACATTTCTGAAATTAATGGCGATCGGTTACTTGTAGGCGGAGGAACGTATTCCTTCTTGCTCATTAACAATCGCGAAAACTGCGACAGTTTATTGGCCAACCGCCAATGCACATCAATGTTATCGATAATGAAAAGAAGATTGTTAAACTGCATGAATATTCCAGCTAGCATTTGTAATAAATAATTCAAAATTTTAATAAAATTTAAATAAAAACACACGATATACACCACATCGATATCGTCAATGTCACGAAAAATCTCTTGTAAATATTAATCCATTACAAACAACATCATTCTTAAGCTTTGTACATCATGCTGCAAAGTTATTCGCGTATTACTTAATATTTAAAAATTATTTTAGTATTTCTTTCGAGAAATTTATTTCTTCATCACGCTTAGCGAAAAGGCGAGCCGGGACGGCTTGCCAAGAGCAATCCGAGCTTACGATACACATAAGTCTTCGGAGTTATCAGAGACGTGATCGTGACTTTGGCGAATCGTATCACACGGCTCCGTCGCGTCCTTCGATGCGCGCTCCTCTCGATCTTCCTCATCCTACCTCTTTACGACGAGGGGGACCGAGTATCGAGTGGTCATCCGGTTCTCGAGTTCCTCGAGAACTTTGGAAAGGGTCGCGGCGAGCTTGTCCAGTACCCGCCTGCCAATTACGGAACAGAGATCTAACCGTAGTAACGTGTAGTGTTTCCACCATTGTCTGCAGGTCCGAGCGGGGCATACAGTCCGGACGCGACGATGGGCTACATGATGGACGGACAGGCCGCCAGCATGATGCACCGGCCGCCCGGTGATCCTACCTTCCATAATCAGTACCATTACCCGGAGTACTATGGACATCACATATAAAGGTTCGTATTGTACAGATGCTGTGACTGTAATCATCATTTGATCGGTCTCGCATTAGAATATAGTATTCGTTTTAATAGATCATCTGTAGTTTAACAGAGTTCTAAAAATAAATGGAAATATCGTCGATTAATTTATTATATAATTATTTATTTATATATTTGTACAATTATTTATGCAATTATTTATATTTGTATTGAAATATTCATCTTGCACAAAAAAATATTAATATATCAGAGTTACAAAAGTCATCTAGATTGTTAACTTTCTTAAATAATGTATATTTATATCTCTTTAATATTATCAAATAATCGAACCGTTAGATTAAAAAATCGCTAACATTACGTGTTACAGAAGTACTTGCAAGACGGAACGGACGGTGGAATGACAGCTCTAGCAACATGAGAAGCATGACGGGCCTACCGTGTCCCAGGCTGGCACAGACCAGAATCGGAGGACAATGACGATCCATTGATCGCCAGAACGATTTCTTGCCATGCCGCACGTCGAAATCCGTGACGATCGGGTGCTCGGGGATGAGAGGAGACGACACGAGGAAAAGAGAAAGGGGCAAAAGGAGCGAGGTTCCTGGTTCAAGGAGAAAAGACGTGGCGGGTGAAACGCCGCGGGAGGCCAACGAGAAGAAGATCGTAGAACCGTCGAAGGAAGAGAGATGGTTATACGAGATGGAGTGAAGTAGCTGCAGAAGCGGCAACGCGGAAGGACACGGGGAGGATGAAGCCGCGGCTTGGTCTGGAGAATGACGCGGTGAAATTCATGTGATTGTTCTTTGTACAAATATCGCGGTGTAATGTAGTGAAAAATTTAAATGTTAAATTTTAATACGGTCGCGATCGAGATATATTAATAAAATATAAGTGATATATAGGCAATTTAGCGGGCATGTACATTAAATAAAAAGAGGTAAACCCCCCCCCCCCCCGGTGCTCGCACGGAATAGAGAGTATGTTCAAGTGCACAGACGATGCAAGAGAAGTATAAAAAGAAAGAAAGAGATATACCAAGAAAAAAAAATGGAGGTATACATATATATATTTACATGTATGTATGTATATACATATACATATATATAATGCATACACATACATATATATGTGTATATATATTATAAATAAATATAAATAGCGAGACACAAAAGATAAGTAGAGGAAGGCAACAAGATTATTAAATGACACGGTGCAGATGTTTAAAGATATATAAAAAGAAAATGGACGCGCAAATGGAAGAAAATTAGACCGAATGACATCGACGCGTGTGCCGGACTCGAGCGTCGAACTGCATATATATATATACATATATATATATATAGGAGACATTAAAATTTGTACAGTTATTAATTATAAATGAATTTACTAATTAAAGGAAAATATATTATATATAAATATAATATATATAAATATATATTTTATATATACATATATATATATAAATATATAAATATATATTTATATATATTATATATATGTATATATTATATATATGTATATATATGCAACAGAATAAAGAAAAAAACGTGTGGCCCCCGGTTGTAATATAAATCGAGCGTTGTAGTTGGACTGGGACGATTATCACGATATATTGCCGACGCGTACTAGGCGGGAGAAAATTTCCGCGCAAATCGAGAGAGGAGAGCGGGAGACGCGAGTGGCGCGAGTGAGAGAATATACGCGAGATAAACGTACAGAGGGATTCTAGATATAAATAAAAAACGAAGATATAGATAACAGTGAGAAAGAGAGAAAGGAAAAAGAGAGGATTGACGCTCTTCGTCGTGCACTCGATGACGCAGCGATATCCCTCCGAGAGTCCCACCCTCTAAAATCCCAACCCAATTCAACCCCCGCACAAGTGACATACACTTATACACACACTAAGACACTCAAGTTCTCTCAGCTTCACAGAAATATACATGCGCATATGCAGTCCCATCGTATACAACACACAACTACACAGAACATAACTCCCCCCCATGACCATAAGAATAATTAAATGGAAGTACACGCGCGTTTACAGTTTATTATAATATATTCTGTATAAAAAAAATAGTTAATTCAACTGTGAAAATAAGATTGAGAGAGAGAGAGAGAGAGAGGAAAAGCAGGATTCGATTGAGAGGACCTGTCTTGCGGACCCACGTTCATTTTTCCGATACGCCGATTTTTCTTTTACAACGGAAAAAACTAGAAAAACAAAGAATCTTGGACAGATCGAGAAAAACGATTCGTTTTTGTGGTTTTATTTCTCTTTATTTATTTTCACGAAAATCTATGATCAGAAAATATGTCAGAGATGCAAAAAAAAAGAAAGTGCATGGGCGAAATGGAGAAAAAAAAATATATATATATATTTACTATGCTTATATAGGCATACAAATATATATATATATTTATCACGCATACATACTAATAACGTTATTTACATTCTAATGGCTTCAAAATGCATATTTCATATATTTTGTCAAAGATTCGCACCAGTTGTCTATTATTTTTCTTTGTTTCTACTCGAAATACGACATAATTTTCGACAACATTTCGACAATCGTGAAAGAATCAACACACAAATTCAATTAAAATCTGATCACGGAGAGATTCGCTGAATTTTTTCGATAGAAATTGAGACGCGAGTGTATCGATTCATAATATATCGAATCTATGACTTTAGTTTACATCGATCCCTTTAATATGTATATTAATTATAAATATTATATATTTGTATTAAATTAATCGGATAATTTAAATATCGATTAATAGGAATTCATATTAAATTCATATTAATTGATTGAATCTAATCAATTGTGAAATGTGGAAAATAATAATATAAATTTGATAGGAATATAATATACATATATAGTACTTATCAAGATGATGTAAACTAAATCCATATCAAGTTCTAAAGTTCCGTCGAATTCTTAAAATGATTCGCGATTCAGAGAAAGAATGTAATCGATGGTAATTCGAAATGAAGACGAAACTTCACACTTTTGATAAGCTCATATTATCAATCGACATGTTATCTATCAATCTATCAGACAAGATAAAATGTCAATTGAGATTTCAACGAATCGCATATAAAATGAACGAAAACGAACGGAAACGATTGTCGAGTTGTTGTTATTATATACGTTTCCGCGATCACATGGGTATTCGTCGACGATCTAACCCTCTCTTGGAACCAGTTAGCAACGAATCCGCAGCAATGGGCAGCCCCTTCGAATTTGACACTTTCCTTATCTTTTTCTCGTTGACAAGAACGAATCGGTATTATATCGCCGCGATATTATCGTCTCCTTCCTTCGTTCCTCTATGTGCACGTCATTTGCACATACATATATACATACACAAAAACACACACACACACACATTTATTCTTATGGCTGATCGTAAAATGCAAATTTTTGTCTTTTTATTTTTGTTGCTTTTTTTCTTCCCCGCTTTACGCATTCCCTTTTCCATCATCGGTATTTCCCATGTTCTCCGTAATCTTCATATTCATTTTGATGATTATCGTTTTTTTTCGGACGACATGTCAGTCACGAAGGCGCAATCGAACGAAGGAAGAAGTAGAATGCAATCAATCTCCAATCTGTATTTATCTCCTCCAATCGCTTGTCCCTCGTTCCCTGTTACGATATTTTGGAGGAATCTCTATATTTCTATACGAATCTTATCGCGCGCGCGTCCTTGATATACGTAAACATGTTAGCGAGCAAATGATAGAGAGATTAAGAAAAAGAAAAATGAACACGCGAATGTTAGGGAACTGGAGCGAGGGGAAGAAGCGTTTTTTTCCGATGAAGGGGAATGAATTTTCGAGAGACCTTTATAACGCGATAGGCCAGACACAGAGCATGTTTATTAAGAGAAAAAAAATTTTAATGAAATTAAAACGTCGATTATATATACGTGAGTGCAGATTCACGACGAATAAAGGGTACGAAATAATAAAAACGTCCCTCGTTAACGTCACACGCGTCATCCGAGGACGCGTGTCTCGTTGATCTCTCGACGATCGAGACACGACGATTCGTTCGGAAGGATGGATCGTCGGCACCATCCTCTCTGATCGGACGGGGGGCGCGAAACGAGAGGATGACACGAATAGAGGGAGCGAGAAGAGAAAGAGCATAAGACAAAAATTTTATCGATATTTTCAATACGCCCGCATACACGCAAATCTTGTATAAAAATTTTAATGTAACACAACTGCTCTTGTCGAGAGCCGAGTGACAACGCGTCGGTGTTCCTCTCACGACATATCTTACATTCGAGATCTATCCAGGACAATTCCAGGACAACAACAAGGATAGAATGATCCTGAGATCATTCGATACTCTCGCGGTTAAAGAGGAACACTGGCATTGCACGTTGTGTCTCGCGCGATCGGCGTTCTAGTATACTAAACTAAAAAAAAAAAAGAAGATAACCCACGTATACCGAAAGACTCAGGTGTGAGAGAAGTCAGTATAGCTACGGTCCTGATTAAATCGGAACAATTACAAGAATTCGTAAGTCATGTCGCGCCGAGCGAACGCACGCGCGTGGCTCCTCTGCACGAGATGCGCGCCGATCGATCATGCGAGATCCTCGATCGCCTCCTCTTCCACCTCTTTCCGAAGTAGGCAGGTAGGTAGGTAGGTAGGTAGGAAATGGCACAGCAAGAGAAGGACTCCTCGTTCGTAATAAATTCGTCGAGCCGAGTCCTTCGACGCGCCAGCTCTGTCGTCGGGGAAATTAATCGCGGATCTCACCGCGACCAGGATGAAAACGGTATACGATAAGACAGACGGGAAATTGTATACGTTATGCGCGAGATCGCGCCGCCGAGATTAGATCCCACGCGAGAGAAGAAGATATCTCAACTTTCTCTCTCTCGATGATTTTGATGAATTTAAATTTCGTCTTGCTCGACATCGATCCTCCTCCGCACGCGCGAGAACCGATTTACGATGCATAATTTCGATGGATAATTTCGGCGCGCACGATCCTTGATCAAGAGCTAAAAGAGATTAATTATATCTATATCATAGTTATCGAGAACGAGACAATCACAAGAAATATACTAATCGATGATGATCGTCGACGCGTTTTACCTGTCGTCGCGCGCAGCGTCGAGGACGACGGCGCATTTTTACGAATTATATTTGTTGAACGATATATTGTTTAATTTTGTTGAAGCTCCCGTTCTTTGGCCGTGCACGACGACACGTTAAATCATATGCGGTCGTACAAGAGCGATCGATTTCCCTAACGAAGAACGGCGCTTAAAGGACGCATGCAGCGTTCGGAAAATTCAATTGCAAAATAATCTGGAGTGCAGCAATATGTAGATTTACCTTTTCACTTCGTATTATATATTGCAATTTATTTATTTATTTATTTCTTTTTAATTATTATTTGCAATATCAACACAAGTGCAAACTTAATTTAAAGGAATTAATATAAGTCGGTGCGATATTCAGCAATCTGAACCGAAATTAATTCAATTAATTAATTGCAGTTTAATGAAGATAAAGGGAAATTCGAGAAAAACAAGATTCCTTTTAAAAAGAAATAAAAAATAAAATACGAATACAAAGAGGAGATCGCACGATCGAGTACGGGCGCGAATATCGGCAGACTTGAGCGAAGACCGGAGCGACCGGACGTCGTATTGGCTGTTCGTTTTATAAATGAGTTCACTCGATTGAATCATCGCCTTAAAAATGTATACGAAGTAACAGTGTAAGGTCTATCTAAGTAATAATCATGTTAGAGGGTAAATCATAACAAAGATTTTATGAGCGACGACACGAGCGAGGCACGAGAACGATGAGAGAGGACAACAGTAAATGCGTATGTGCATGCGTGTGTGCGTGTAAAATGTGTGCGTGAGTATACGTGTTATGTGTGTATGAAAATGAACGAGTGGGATAATGCGAAAGAGGGAAACGATCGAAAGGAAAAACGTGGAAAATGCGTGCACGAACAGTAACGAGCCAGAGTGATGGAACAATGTATAATTATTGTGTAATTACGAACGATAAACGAGATAACGGCTACGACGTCGACGATTGCGACGATGATCATAATGATGATGATGATGATGATGTTGAGGACGACGATTCGCGTTGTCGCGGCAAAGATCACAGCGATCATCCTTATGATCATGAAAGCAATCATGATAACGCGGTCTGAGAATCCGATAAATGAATGATAGCGATGAGAAAGAGAGAGAGAGAGAGAGAGAGAGAGAGAAAAAGAGAGAGATGTGTATAATAAGCTAAAATTTTATTATATCGATATGGAATCAGATTTTTGCGTATTGACG